TATTATAATCAACCAAAAATGCACAAAATTGTGAGGCAGCTTTTGAACTCTCCAGATGAAGGCTTGCTTACAGTTGTATGTCTTTTTGTTTAGTTCTGATAGAGGTATTGTCTGATCATGGATTCTGGGTTTTCCTTGTGGACCAATAAGTTGTACTTTGTTTGTGATTACTTAGAAGGACTTGTGGAGGCTTCAGCATTATGGAAGGTATTCTCACTTCAGCTTAAACATGCAGTAAAATTATGGAAAGAGAGGGAGTGACAGAGAGGTTCCATTGTTTTACCAACACCTACATTGCCTCCCATCTGGTGAATAGAAGATGGTTAAAAGTGTGTGAATGGGCAGGAGATTTTGAGCAATTCTTGAGAGAGAAGGTACAGTTCTGGCCAGCATCAGCACCATGGTAACCCAGAGGCCTAGGGAAGGATATGCCTTAGGCCTTGCTCTGTGGTCTGGTTTCTGTGGTAACAAGCTCCAGGCGAGAGAGGGGGTTATTCACATCCAGTTGGGTAGCAAAAAACCTGCGTGTGGCTTTCTGGTTCTGAATGCAACTTGAAGGGAGGGGTGTACTTTGTAGGACAAATGAGGCTGTTGCCGTGGTGACAGGAGTGCGCTCCACCGAATCTTGTGGAGGTCAGGCTGGCACAAGCACTTTGACAGTGAGAAATTGCCAGGTTTTTTTGGGGGGGATGCGCACAGCAAGGGCAATGCCTTTTGGGTAAAACAACAGTGCTTTCCTTTAGAGTTGCATTGCTGACAGCTTGCTGTATTTTACCATACTGTTAAATATTCCTTGACTGGAATTTTTAACAGAAGTTGTATTTTTACCAAGGGCTCCGTGCCTCTGGTTTATGTTTTTAACGGTTTACATTTATCAAAGTGAGTAATACAGACTTTTCTTTCCATTTACTCCCATGCTTCACAGTTTACTTCAGAAGGAAAGTGGATGTGTGACTTAAAAACATTCTATAAGCAAAAGGCTTTTAAACTCACTTCATACCAGTGTAAATACCAACATAATGGGCCATGACACACTACTTTTCCTTTACGGATCTCAGATGGTCATTGCAGTTTGTTTTCAGAGAGGTAGCCATGTCAGTTTGTTTAGAAAAATCCCACAAAAATAAAAACAATAGTGTGGCACTTTTAAGGCTAACATATTTACAGTATCTGAGTAGGAGCTTTTGTGGACTGCACTTCCCGTCTTCAGACACACCACAAGATACATTTGTTAGTTTTAAAAGTGCCACAGTATGTTTGTTTTTGTGTTTGTTTTTGCAGTTTATTTTTGTCTCAGCTTCCACAGGTGTAAATAGTTGAGATGTGTGAAAAGGAGCAGGTCTTATAGAACCTGTGATACGCATACTGGGGCACTGAGGACACAATTGGCAAGTAGGGTTGCCAAGTGATAAGAAAACGAAGCATCAAAAAAACAGATCTTGAAAGTGTTTAGGAAAGCAGTTATGGTTAGCACAAGCTCTTGAACTGCCATGATGAGGGGAGAGGTGTGCTGACTTAGCATCCTTCACAAGGAGGGAGGGAGAGGAGGAAGCAGATAGAATTAAGATTGCCGGAAGAAATATCAACAACCTTATATATGCAGATGATACCGCTCTGATGGCAGAAAGTGAGGAGGAATTAAAGAACCTCTGAATGAGGGTGAAAGATGAGAGCGCAAAAATGGTCTGGAGCTCAACATAAAAAAATCTAAGATCATGGCCACTGATCCCATCACCTCCTGGCAATTAGAAGGGGAAGATATGGAAACAGTGACAGATTTTACTTTCTTGGGCTCCATGATCACTGTAGATGGTAACAGCAACCACGAAATTAAAAGAAGCCTGCTTCTTGGTAGGAAAGGAATGACAAATCTAGACAGCATCTTAAAATTCAGAGACATCACCTTGCCAAAAAGTCTGCATAGTCAAAACTATGATTTTTCCTGTCGTGATGTATGGAAATGAGAGCTGGACCATAAAGAAGGCTGACTGCTGAAGAATTGATGCTTTTGAATTGTGGTGCTCGAGGACACTCTTGAGTGTTCCCTGGACTGGAAAGAGAACAAACATATCCATTTTGAAGGAAATCAACCCTGAGTGCTCACTGGAAGGACAGATCCTGAAGCTGAGGATCCAGTACTTTGGCCATCTCATGAGAAGAGAACACTGTCTGGAAAAGATCCTAATGTTGGGAAAGCGCGAAGGCAAGAGGAGAAGAGGACGACAGAGGACGATATGGTTGGGCAATGGCACTGAAGCTACCAACATGAATTTGACCAGACTTCAGGAGGCAGTGGAAGACAGGAGGGCCTGATGCGCTCTGGTCCATGGGGTCACGAAGAGTTGGACACGACTTAACAACTAAACAAAAACAACAAATACAGTGGTGCCTCGCTTGACGACAATAATCCATTCCAGCAAAATCACTGTACAATGAAATCGTCGTCAAGCGAAAGTAAAAAACCCATTAGAATGCATTAAAAACCAGTTAATGCATTCTAATGGGCGAAATACCTCACTGTCCAGCGAAGATCCTCCATAGGGCGGCCATTTTCTGGTGCCTGTAATGTGAGGAATCCGTCCTTAGCACAGTGGGGAGCCATTTTGCCCAGCGGGGAGCCATTTTGAAACCCGACGATCAGCTGTTTTTTGAAGCAGAAGCAGGGAACCGATCATCGTCAAGCGAAAAAAGCCCTTTGAAACATCGTTTTGCGATGACAATAGCGATTGCAAAAACATCATAGTGAAGCGATTTCATCGTGAAGCAGGGTAATCGTTAAGCGGGGCACCACTGTACATTATCCAAGTAGCAGGCCAAGAAGTGGTGTGTCACAGATTAGGGGTTTGATGAAATGAGGCTTCAGCTCAGGGGATGGTGAGTGGATGGTGGCACAGGCACTGACACCCATCAAATGCTCCATTGCTTGAGATGACCAGTCAGCCTGGCTCATGACCCGGTCATGCCTGCTAATGATTACCATAATCTCCCTGTGGCCATGCTGGCTGGAGCATTCTGCGAGTCATTGTCCAAATAAATAAATAAACTCTTCCAAGTTATTGAGGGGAAAAAGCTTGCTACCCTGTTTGCAGGGCAGTTGGCAAACAAAATAAGGGATATCCAAAATAAGTCCTCTCCACCTCATTCCGGCTTGCATCTCTGTTGTGTTGCACTGAAAGCATTGAGGTTACTTGATTGCACCTACCATCAGCTCAGTGGTGTGAAGACAGGTGCTAGAGCAGGCAGCTGTATCTATTGCCACTTTCACTATTTCTGGAGACTTAATCTGTCCCCAGTGCAGTATAATCAGATGTATGCCTAGTAATGTAGGGATAATGAAGGTAATAGTTACAGCTACCTGCCCTGGCACTTGTCTTCTCAAAACTGGATCATGCATCTCATTTTTATTTTCTTTTTTTTTGAAAAGAGAGGGCTTGTGAGAGCTGTGTTTGCCCCCCCCACCTCACCACAATGGCCCTTGTCACTGAGGGTGACTTAACTCAAATTCAAAGCAAAGCATGCTGCTTATATAACACCCCATAGTTTAACTCAAATTCAAAGCAAAGCATACTGCTTATATATCACCCCATAGCACTCAAACCATTCTCTGGGTGATATACAGTTTAATTATGCAGGCTATACATTGCCTTCTCAGCAAGCTGGGTACTCAGTTTACCAGCCTCAGAAGGATGGAAAGCTGAGTGAAGCTTCAGCCTGCTACCTGGGATTGAACCTGGGTCGTGAGCAGTTTTGGCTGCAGTACTGCAGTTTAACCGCTATGTCGTGAGGCTCCTGTATTCTAAAATTCAACCTTTTATGGGCTTGTTTGCTTTGAATTTGTGTAGTTGTGGGGAGTTACAAATGAAATTTTATGTTTGATATACCAGATCTTTCAGGCAGCTTTTGATGGAGACCTGTTACCTGGGATTGAACCTGGGTCGTGAGCAGTTTTGGCTGCAGTACTGCAGTTTAACCGCTATGTCGTGAGGCTCCTGTATTCTAAAATTCAACCTTTTATGGGCTTGTTTGCTTTGAATTTGTGTAGTTGTGGGGAGTTACAAATGAAATTTTATGTTTGATATACCAGATCTTTCAGGCAGCTTTTGATGGAGAATGCAAGCAAAAGTAACTTCCCTCCAGCTGGAACTGCTTTGTCATTGGGGAGCTGAGATCCCATACCAAATGAGTTTCACTCAGCCTCTGTCCAGAGTTCTTCTTTCCACTAGCATACAGAGTGGGAAGAATGTAACAGTCAGGCATGTAGCCAGTAGAGCAGTTCTCTTGTTTGCATATTGCTGGAGTGAACTGGACTGCTGGAAGCCATCTGTGCTTGACCAAAAGGAGACTGAGTAGTCGCAAGGAAATGAACTGGAAGTACAGTGAGACAAACCTGGGCTGGGGAAATAGAATAATACAGTACAATATTTCTGAACTGCTAAGTGTTGGGTAAGATGCATTAAAATCTCTTCCTCATGAGCTCTTCCTGTTGGCTCTCTTGTGTTTTTCCAGTTCTCCTAGGTCTAAAGCCCATTTTCCATAAATATGTGTTTGACTATGCTGGGGCCTCTGGAACAAATTGAATTCATGGAAAGCTGTACTTGTTTCCAAGTCACATGAAAGCAGAATAATTTGCATCAGGAGCTCAACTTATTTTGGCTCAACTTATTATCTCTCTTCAATTTGTGATCACATCTTTCTCTTCATGTCCCACAGAGAGGTTGGGAGAGAGGTAGAGCTCTTCCTGTTTGTGATATAATATGGAAAAGGTTAAAAAGAGGTGCTCAGTCTTGAGCAGTGCCTGGGACTGCTGGTTCTTGTTTTTAGACAATTGAACAAAATGAGGAAAGACTCTTACATCTTCAGAGTCTCCTTAAGTGTGTAAAAATCTCAGAGAAGGTGTTTTGGGCTGGATAGAAGAAGAGGGGCAGTTGCCATTGCTACCAGATCTGTGAATGTTTGGTTTTCATGCAAAATGTTTTTCTCTCTCTCATTCTTTTCTGCAGAGGTGGTGATCAAGGTTCAAGTGTATGAAAATGGTGACCTGTCTCCACTGCCTCAGGCCACCGTGGAAGCATATGGAAACCATACGTCTATGGCTTCAGGCACCACTGACAATGAGGGTGTTAGCATGCTCCCCATCAGCTATCGCCTGGGTACCTGGGTCCTCGTCACAGCTTCTAAGCATGGCTTTGTTACGAACTCTGTTCCTTGGCGTGTCAACAAACTGCCACGTAAGTTTTGGGTGACTGTTGATTGAGGGAACCTGAGTGGCTGGAAAACCACAGACAAGAGTGGCTCTAGGACAATAATAGGGGAGGAAGCACATTGTATGCAACATTTTATTAGGGTCCTTTCTCCTGTTCCAGAAATATATAAAGAATATGCAGTGCTTCCAAAATTGGAATAAGAAAATAGTTCTTTTTTTCCTCTATAGAATAATAGTATATTCATATTTTAAGCATGTTTTTCTGATAATTTATGACACCAGAATCTTAGATAGGTCAGTTTTCTCAATGTTGCACAACTCCACTGAGCACCCAACAATTTCATATTATAAGGGTAAGAACACACAAGTGTGTGGTGTAATTTTTTTAACAACTCCTCTCAAGAGGAGAGTAGTTACAAGTGGCATGGCAAGTGGCCATGCCACTTGTGAGATTCTGAAAGTTGTGTTCCAAAATGAACTTTTATTTGCAGCTTGGAACCAATTTTTAAAGCTAATGTTATGACAAAAACTTAATTTGTGAACGTAAGAACTGCCCTGTTGTATTTCTTGCATCCTGTCTTCAACAGTGACCAATCAAATGTATCTGGGAAGCCCACAAAGAAGACGTATCTTTCTTCTGCTGGTGATATATGGTATATTTTCTTTGAACTTGGAAGTTCAATGTAGTAATTATGACTAGTAGCCATTTTTCTGCTTGTCATCCGTGAACTTGATTAATCCCGTTCTGAAGCCATATAAGCCAATGAGAACATGTAACATGGATTTTACATGTACATTAACTTTTGATCAAGTAACCTGTGTAGGAACAGTGGCCCAGAAGGGTTAAGTTAGTGGTAATGGTGATTTTGCTGTTGTTGTGGCTTGCAATCTATGTTGCACTAGGTATGGTGTGTGGAATCTTGTTGCAATCTCTCCACCTGTGGACGGGTGCTTGTGGGAAGCCAAGGGAGACATAGAGACAATGAAACAGTGGCCAATAGCTGTCTGAACAGCAGCGGCTGAAATGGGCTCCCACCTACTACATTAAGAGGGAAGTCTCTGTGTTCCCCATTTATGGTAGAGATGTACCTGATTGTGGTGGTGCTCAGCCAAAGACACACACCCCTTCCAGCATAGGACATATCCTACATTATTTCAGTACTACCAACTATTGAAGAAGCTTGTTCGTCCTCTATGGTTTTGGCCGGAATAGTTTTCACATGGTGATATTTTGCAGATGAATTGCTTTAAAATGAAGGATGTATTACTACTGCTAGAACAACAAAAGGTTGGCTACACCAGTGGATGTTTTTGAACTGCAACTCCCAGAAACCCCAGCCAGCACAGTTGGTGGTGAAGGCTTCTGGGAGTTGCAGTCCAAAACTCCTGAGTAACCCAAGGTTAAGAACCAGTGGGCTACACTGTGGGGATTTTGGAATGCTGAAGTTTGATACTTGTAATAGGTCTGAGAACAGAAGTGTTAGTTGTCAGCTACTTTGGTTATTTGTGCAAAATACTCCCTGTTTTGTGTGATGCATGCCTTTTTATTATCATATGCCCCTGCGAAAGGGTTTGTGCTGCAGATCTCCAAGATAATACCAGGGCAGGGGAATTCAAGTGAACCCTAGAGCATTCTAGACAGTGTAGTGGAGTTGCAGGATTAGTTCTCTGACATCTCAGAGTCAGCTGCTGAGTTTCACAGTGGCCCTAATCTGAAGACTCACTTTACCAAGAGTTTACTACGTCGTTGTCAGTGTTGTAACTGGTTTTTAAGATCAGGACTGAGGCTTAGGCTGTGGCAACAAGTGATAAAACAGAGCATGCTTCTGAGAAGATACAGGAGGCCATTGCTTTACTAGCGAGTTGTTGCAACTAATCCGTATTTCTGGGAACAGGAAGGCAAGAAGCATTTAGGTAATAGGATGAGACTACTGGGAGGATTTGCTACTTGGCACCTCTCTTTTTAAAAATAACAAATTACCTCAATGCGAACAAGCAAATAGTCACCATGAACACTCTGTGTATCTTCAGTTCACTTACAGCACATATGCATACACTTCATGTACCTGGATGATATATATGCATATCAGATACATGAACTGGAAAGAAATCCTCCAAATGTAAGTGCAGACCTTTGCCCCAGTGTTCCCTTGGTCCAGAAATGTAGGTAGAAACACACAGATACAGATCTTTATTTGTATATGTGTGTGTATGTGTTTTGGCTAGTTGCTTTTTATTTCCTGCCTATAGGCAAAATATTATTGATAGTGCCATACGCTGACTATGACTTCGGCTTCCAAACCTCAGGGTGAGTCGATGAGGTGACCTTATTACCAGTGTCAGTATGTCTTTATCTATGCACACTATGGGTCTACACATCATATGTGCATTTCACTGTAGAATATCTGTAGGGAAGAGCGGCCAGTCTTATATAAATCCCAAAGAGTAGAATCATTTAATTATAATCAGCTAACCTGCTTTGAGGTCCTATTCTTTGTGGTAGGAGATATGTTTGCAGGAGCTGCGACATCTTATTTGTAAGCATGTTGCAATAAGGGACGCGGTGGCGTTGTGGGCTAAACGCAGAAGCCTGTGCTGCATGACATCTTATTTGTAAGCAGTTTGCAATAAGGCACGTGGTGGTGCTGTGGGCTAAACCGCAGAAGCCAGTGCTGCAGGGTCAGAAGGCCAGCAGTCGTAAGATCGAATCCACACAACGGAGTGGGCTCCCATCGCTTTGTCCCAGCTCTTCACCAACCTAGCAGTTCAAAGCATGCAAATGCAAGTAGATAAATAAGTACCACCTCGGTGGGAAGGTAAAACGGTGTTCCCTAGTCACGCTGGCTACGTGGCAATGGAAACTGTCTTCGCACAAGCGCTGGCTCTACGGCGTGAAAAAGGGGATGAGCACCGCCCCCTAGAGTCGGACATGACTGGACTAAAAATGTCAAGGGGAACCTTTACCTTTACCTGCAATAAGATTTCCATTCTCTACCTTTCTTAGAGCTATACCTCTGAGGGAAGAATTGCTAGAGTCATACATTTAAACATTCTACCTTGAAGCGAGATTTTTCACCATAACAATCCATACTTGTCCCAAATGATCACTTTTTCAAGACAGATTAGCCTGGGTTACATATTTTGATGTAAGCAGAAAACACATTGTTTCTAGCTGGAACTAGAAAAATGACTACTGTAACAATGTTTGCAGTGAAATCTTACCTCTGCTTCACCCACATACTCACAGCTATCTTGAGAGATGATGTGAAGGAGAAGTGAGTAAGAGTGAGCCGTCCGTGGTGATAGAGGCCGTGGTAGAGGAGACAGAAAGCAGTGGCGTGAATGTGACTGAAAGAAAGATTGTGAATGCATCTGAAAAGGGGGAGACCGTGTCGGAGACCGTGTTAGAGGAAAAGAAAGGGGAGGTGGAGATCTGTTAGTGGAAGAGAGTGCAAAGGGAAAAGGGGAGGAGCAGAAACTGTCACTCTGGGAGGAGAGTATATATGTACAAGGGGAACAGTGGTTTGGGGCAGAATTGGAAAAGGAGATGAGGAGGAGGAGAGGCCTAGTGAATAAGAATATCGGAAAACCAAAGACGTATTGAAGGACTTTCTTGGAAAAGGTGATGAGGAGGAAGGAGGAGGAGAGGCATAGTGAATAAGAATATTGGAAAACCAAAGACGTATTGAAGGACTTTCCGAACCTAAAAGTGGGTGGACTGTTACCAGGCCCTGGACCTAAGGCTGAAGGAGAATCCGTGATTGGGACCCAAGAGTGGACCGTCATCGTGTTTCTGCGTGGACAGGGGAGAGGGAGAAAAGTGATCAGACCAGACTCAAGATTTAACACACTACCCAAAGAAGGAGATTGGGCGAGGCACCCATGCTGCAGAATGATTTGTGCAGTGAGGAGTGCTCCCCTTCGGAGACCTACCGACCAAGAACGGTTTGGCCGAGGACCCCAGTGAGCTCTTTGGACTTTGGGAGAGAGTTCATATCTCCTAGTTATGGTTTGTTGCCTGAGTTGACATGTTTTGATCCAATTAACAATATAGTTGAAAGTTGTGAAACAAATAAAGACAAGAACATGAGTACTGTTAAAACATCTCCAAGTTTATTTCCCACCAAAAATGAGGAGTTGCCCAGAGAGTTAAACGAAACCGATCACAGATGAGTTATTGTGTCCATATGTGGCTGGCCCTACCACTAAACAGAGTGACATATGGGAGGCACTGTGGGGTGATAGCATCTCTCCACCCACTCTTCCTATTCTTCTTAAGCCAACACCTCAGTGGCTTTTAAACTGGCCTGTTGTTGTCATCTTATTGGCACCATCACAGTGAGCATGGTGTTCGGGGGAACTCTTGACTAGCCTAGTACGCAGAGAGGTCAGTGGCTTACATTGTGCACTACTGTAGGTGATGCCATTGCACATGTGTTGCTGTGGTTGCATGACATGTTTTAGTGTTGCTGCATTGCAACATTTCTTTCAGCAGGTAGCAAGAGGTGCTAGGCAGGTGTTGAGTGACCAATTGTGAACTGGTGGAAGAGACAGTATTTGGAGAACTTGTTTTCTCCCTGGTTTGTGCTGTTGTTGCCACTTAAGCACAAATCTTATTGGGATTTCTGGCCATACTGGCCCACTTTTCTTTCTTAAGATCACCATCTTTTAAAGAGATTGGGTAAAAGTCCTTTCGAAAACAGTTTGAAGAAACCCTTTATTATAGCCCTTTTAAAAATTTAAGATGATCTTGTCTACAAGATATTTTCCCTCCATTGCTTTAATTAACATTAAAGCGGAAGGGTCTGATTGCAGCAGACATCCTGTGTTAATCCTCCTTGGGAATAGTTGGTTTCAAAAACCACTGTTTTCAAAATCTGGAGGAAATTCTAAATACGATCTTTTTTGTTCTGCAGGGTGGGGGAGTCTGCTTGACTTTTAAGTGGAATTGTGCTAAATTTAAATCTTCCAACACAATGAGCATTTGCTGATAATCATTTTGAAGCTGCCTTCCAAATTCACTGTTTTCAAAATACTGTATGGGGCAAGCTCTGGGAATGATCTTCTGCTGGGCTTCTGTGGTGGATTTTTGTGTTTTTCTGGCTTCTTTAAGTGGAATAATGCTAAATTGAAACCTTCCGACTGAAGTAGATCTTGTTGCCTGAAATCTGCCAACAGTACAAAAACCCTCCACCCCCTGGAGGTGGCTTTAAAAACCACAGAAGAACAGGATTTTTTTGGTGCACCCTGTCACAGTTGGTAGCAGTTTGAGTCTTGTGTTATCTGGATAGCACAAAAAATACTGGTATCATCAATGCACACAACAGATATTCTGTCTGGATAAGCAATGTGTTATGTGGTCTGCGTTGCACTCCCTAAGCTAGCCCACTAACCCTCAGTGCAGTGGAGAAAGTAGCAGTCTCTCCAAAGGCTCTGGATTATTTATTAGTGATCAATTAGATTCCATAGAGTTTATTAAAAGCTTTTATTAGGCTAGGAGTCTGATTTTTCTTTCTTTCATTAAACTTTGTGATTTCTTGGATGGGGCAGAGTGACTCATTCTCTCCTGGGCTTCAACTTTTTGTTGGTCATGAACATGCTCTGCCAGAGGAGCCCACTTAATTCATGAACTGTTTGGTGAAACAATTCAGACTGCTCAAGCAGAATGCCAAAGGGGTATGCAGCTTTCAGCCTGTTCAGAAACCGCTAGCCCATAAGGCTAATAAGAACTCCCTTCTTGTTCCCAAATGCGGAAAAACTTAAATAAAATGCATTTGTGAATTTTCAGGACAAACTCCTTCTTTGCCTATTTACATTTGGATATTTATTTTTATGTCTTTTAGCATTCTGCAAGAAAATAACCCAATAGGCACACTTGTTTTACATTAAGCCAATTTAGGGTTAATGGTATTATTATGAGCAAGCTATAAGACTCAAATGTTTTCCCTGGGGTCTGTTTACTGCTGTATGAAATAAAACAGTTCAGAATACAATAGTTTCCTACACCCTAGATGAACACTGTCATATTCTGATGCCAGAATGTCCATTTTTATTGTTGCTATATATCTTGCTCCCTAAATACTAAAAAAGTTCCAACTTTAATATACCAGACAGGTTCTGATATCCACTTCCATTGTAAAACTAAAATATTGTGTCTGCACACCCTTCTCCTTCATTTTTAGCAAATGTATATACTGTATTAGATTTTCCCCACCAAGTATGCTTCAGATGTGTTGGACTACAGAGGCTCCAGTTTGGGGAAGACTGATTATGTAGTACGCATTGAGCTTATGTAGCTCAAATGACAAACCCATTCTCCAAGTACGGATACTTATATAACCATGAGTTATGAGAAAGTCATTGGCAGACTTGCAGGAGGACCCCTAGGTTTGTAGAAATTCACAAACTCTTTTAAAAGAAAGATTCTAAAAATGAGAGGGACATGGAGGACTGGACTTGCTCAGTGAATAACAAATTCTGTCTGTTAGCTTTATTCAGAGCTTGAAAATCCAGTGTCAGATTTTAGTAAAGATTTGCATTGGCACATGATGGAACAATTGCAAAACTAGAATTATTAGGAGGGAATAATCAATATTTTTGCAGATATAATCTGTATTCCCATTCCACCATTAATATTTCCATTAAGCTTTCCTCCATCTCCACCAATTATGTTGGACCCTCAGTCATCAGCAAGTAATTTACTTGCAGCTGATAGTCATTATTTCAACTAGAGAGGGGAGAAGAAGAGTAAACAAAGTTGTCTGCTAATGACTAATTCTCTAGAGAGATGAAAAGGCATAATGGCCCCAATCAGATATAATATCAGCTTTGACTTAAGGAAACTGGACTACGTTTTGATGTGTATCAGGTCAAAGTAAAATAAAAATAAAAAATAAAGAAGACAAAAATGTAGCAACTTAAAAACTAACCGCTATATTTTAAGGTAAGCTTTCATGGATAAGTCCACTGTCTCAGACAGTTTGCTGTGATGTCAGAATTGACACACTACAATCTCACCAGCAAACCAGAATCATAAACCTGAGCTTTTAGGATGCTTTTGTTAACTGTAAGCCATCCATTGTATATTTAAAAGTGGGATATAAATTTCAATGACTTAAGATTTGGCATGAATTGCTGAACGATAGTTCCATACAACTTCCAGAAGCTATGGCATCTCAAGACTGGAATATTAAGTAGGCAGAAAACAGAAGCATGCAAGCAATTCCCGACCAAAGATAATCTGTTTTCCATTTGTAAGTTCAGTCCATGGTTTGGATTTCGAACTAGAGTTAGTGGAAACTATAGTTTGCTGTTATGTGTAAATTGAACCACTGTGATAGATCAGGAGCAGCCTCAAAGGCAGGCTGTCTCCTGAATTTAACACAGCATTTCCTGCTAAGGAAAGTTTGAAATTATGTTTTTTTTTCTTTCTCCTGATTTCCTTTTTTATTTTTAGTTTATGCCTCTGTCAGCCTCTATCTTCTCCCAGAACGCCCTGCAACACTTATCCTCTATGATGATTTGATACAGATCCTTCTTGGTTCTCCAGGTATGTCCCAAGATCTGATTGCTAAAAAATTGAGGCTATGTAGCTGGCACTCAGGAGTCAGTTAAGATGCCATAGAGTGCCAGAATGTTTCCACCACTTATTTTTAAACTGGCTATAATTTCTGGTGCCATTCCTGACTACAGGGGATATGGAAGTTGTTTAAGATTGTAGAACATTTTTTCTGCACATCCTTCCTTGTTGCTCTTGACCACTGCTTACAGTGATGTACATATTAATTCCAAGGGTTGATCAAGAGTTACAAGGGACAGTGGCAAAAGCTGTCCTTTACAAATGCTGCACATCTATATAGAGATCTGTAGCAGCCTGTTTTGCAGACTGCATTTGGGATAGAGATGGTCAGAATCGTGCATTCTATTGATCTGGATTAGGACATAGGAGAGGGGAGCCAGTGAGGTCAGTGCCAGAGGTGTAGTTTGCTAGGGCTATAAAAAAAGGAACTGAAGGGTGGACTCTTTGTAAGATGTGATGTGGACAGGAGTCCACAGAACTAAGATATGGGGCAGTGCTGACAAGTGGGGATGAAAGACCTAGGTTAGTGGATGCCCTTTGTATTCAGCTTTTAGATGTCCCTCATGGGAGAGTGTCAATGGTTTCTAGTCTAGTATGTCAGTGTATGGCCTGGGAGGTGTCACCATGCACTGGACTATGAGGCAAGTCAGCAGCATTTTTCTTGTCTTGCATGGTTTATTTCCCTGTTATCTTGTCAGTTCAGCCTCTATCTTGTTCAATGTATTTTCAAGCCTATCTGTGTAGATGTAAACACTGAAAACTCTCATTCTTAAGTTCTACATACAGTGTTGAGTTCCTCTCACTTTTATAAACTGAAGTTTTCCCAATATTCTGATGGTTTGGTGTGGGATCTCAATGTGCCCCCCCCCCGCCAGAAAGCCAACCTCTTTTACTGAGAATTCTGTATAGTTGTATACAGGCAAGACATGGCTATTGAGTGGCCAATGGAATCCAGTCTACATGTACTTATAAATACTTATTGGTATTACTGCATTATATAGCAATGGTCTGAGGCCTACTCATGAAAGCAGAATCTGAGGCTTCAAATGCTGGTAGGAAAAGGATGAGCTGTAGCTTGTTGTTGAGTACCATCTGACTATGACAGGCATTAACCTTTTGATTTTTACAGGAGCTAAGAGCCAACCATGGGCACAGTTCCAGCGAAGGTCTGCCCGCCTGCCCCGGAGTTCCACATACAGCCAGCTGTCGGCCTCTCTGACTGCTGCCAGCAGTGGGCCAGACATGAGGGGTTTCCCATCCTTCATTGGGGCAGAAAGCAATGGCAGTGGTAAGTGGGACCTGGGGTCAAAATTTGGTGGGAAATGATAAGGATGGAGGAATACGCAGCAATTGCTGGGAAACTAGAGATGGAGCTACATTAAAATTGGGCTACATTAAACATCTACCATGATGGTGGTAGATTGGGGGGATTGGGTCTCTTTTTTTTTAGTAAACATTATTATAATATTACAGTCATTGTTGTTTGAAGGTGTAGTGCTTTTGGGTTTTCCTTCTCAAGTTCCAAAATTGTCTTGGTGTTTCTGGAGGTGAAAGCAGCACTTTGGCTAACTGTTTTTATTTTTTTCACAGTCAATAGCACATGGATGGAGCTAGTGCCTATCGTTGCAGTCAGCGTTCACCTCTTCACTGGCAATGGGACAGAGGTCCAGCTCTCAGGCCCCGCCCACCTCTCTATTCCACTCCCACCAGACACAGTTGCTGCAGCATCCACTAGTGTGCCAGCTTGGCGCTTTGATCTCAAGAGTGGTGAGTGGGTGAAATTGTTAATGGACCTGGGCTGCTTAATTGTAATTATAGTCTATAATTGCAGGCATGTAAGACAAGAACAATACTGCTTTATTTAGCAAATGCCCGACACAGGAAGAACATTAGCCATTTTCCAGTATCCAAACATCTTCCTCTTTACCCATGGATCCAAGCACTGTGCAGGGCCACAAAACCACCTGGGTGCATATAAGAGTCCATTAGTGAGATAGGAGATGAGCAAGAATCATGCCATGTCTGTAAATGGTTCCTAGGAGGGGCTTCTTTCTGATTGTGAAAGTGTTTTGAGTTAGCTGCTGAATTTCTGTTGCTTATGTCACATCATCCTTTCCACCACAGGAATGTACCCATCATTCATAACAAAATGGTGTGGGAATACTGTATATTCATCATCCCCCCCCCCCGGAGTACCATATTCAGCTATGTGTGCTCTTAACCTTCTTGCTCCAATTTGAGCAATATAAATGAAATGTTCTGTCAAAATGTCCATTTCTGTTCACACTGCTCTTGCCAGGTTGAATAAGAATCTCTTATCCTGTCTCTTCCTGGGAGAAAAGTGCTGAGATAACCTAATGGGCTTCAGTGGGCCTTTTAGGATTAGGACCACTTCTGGAGACCCACATTGTGCACCTAGGTTGCTAGCCCCTTCGTCTTATTTTTCTGTTCTTGTACTACAAAACATGTTGGATCAGGCCATGACCCAGAGCACATTGCTGTGCAGTTACTATCTGCAATATAATGACATTTTCCTTCCAAATAAATTCTATAGGTGTTTCAAGTTATGGCTAGTGACTGGCTGTTCGTCTTCCTTTGGGGCAGGGAGTTGGTTTAGGTAGCCTTTTAGTTTCTTCTGATTCAGTAGTGTTCTCTTATTGTCAGGCTTGTGGATCCGAAATGGGACTGGCCTCATCCGCAAGGAAGGGAACCAGCTTTACTGGACATTTGTCTCTCAACAGCTGGGTTATTGGGCAGCTGCCATGCTGTCCCCAACAACTGGTAAGAGCACTGCTACTGAAGTCTCTGGTATCTCGCTAAGCTTCCTTTGACAGCAGCATTAGCAGATCGATGGGTGTATCCTCTTCTGATATCTCGGGGAACTGTTTGTATTGAATTCTTTAATATATATGCTTTTTGGAAAAATGAGTGCTTCTGACTATGCAGAATGCTTTCTTCATAACTACTCCATAGACAGCTTGTGCAATACAGACCTACCCTGAGTAACATGTGTTTAAAAATCCGCAAAAATGAATACATTAGGGATTAAGGAGAAAGGAGGGGGAAAACATATAGGAACAACATGGTAAATTTTTACATTTGCTTGTAAAAAAATAAGTTATATTCTGTTGATTCGAACTTTTAAAATTAGGTTGTAGCTTGATTTATAATTTAGAAATAGTAGAATATTTGTAAAAGTTTATAAAAAACGGTGTTACTGCCTTAAAATGATAACATTATACATTTTAGCTTTACAAGACTGCCCTTATAATTGAAATGTGCAAATGCAGAATTCAGATTCTGGTGATGGTGAGCAATGCACAGAATGCCTCTTCTGTCCTGAGTCGCTGTAGCCATCATCCCAGTTTCAGTCAGGGTGGGGAAAACGAATATTTGGATATAAAAATACCTTTGAAGGATGTTCAGAGACTATAGTTCAAAATGCAACTGTTAGGTAATTAACTGGGACTAGGCACTGATGACATGGCAGGCTTCTGTTGCAGAAGTTGCATGGGCTGTTCATCCATTTTGGCCCTCAGTTCGAAGTGCTGATTTTTAAAAACTATATGTAGACTTTCTGATACATTAAAATGTCAGTATATGTCAATTTTTGTGGTCAATTTTGTGCCAGGACAAGACCTTTTTATCTTGTAACCCTTTTAAAATTTTATGGCCTTTCTCTCCCCCCCCCCCCTTTTTACTGCTTCAGTTTATTATTCTGCTTCTTACCTATTTTACACTTATTTTAGCTAAATGTGTTTTTTCCTGTAGTTTATTGTAAACCACCCTGAAAGTTTTATTAAAGGACAGTATCAATGAGTCACTCAATCAGATTCCAAGCTGGGGAGAAAGGGGGATGGAAGGCAGTACACAGAACTGTCCAGTCCTAAGAGCTGTGTTCTTTTCAGGGTTGATGAGTGCAACGGCAGGTATAAGAGACATTGCCACATATCATACCATCTTCCTGCTCACCATCCTGGGTGCCCTGGCATTGCTGGTACTTATTCTGCTCTGCCTACTTATCTACTACTGCAGGTGAGTGCCAGTAGTTTATCTTGCTATCCCTTCCCATTTTTCACTCTAATCCTCTCTCTAAACTAGGGGTGGGGAATATGGAACTTTTCAGATGTTTCTGTATTGCAGCTCCCATAATTTCTATTCATTGTCTCTGAAGACAAGGGCAGTGGAAGCTGCAATTCCACAACATGCAGAGAACGACATGTTGCCCACTCCTGCTGTAAACCCTGTTTCCATTGCATGTTTTTTCCCCTAAAAGTGTTCTGCTTAGCTTATTCCTACAATCTGTGGAAAGTAGTTTTTGGTTCTAGATTTATTCTGTCTGCATTTTGGGATGATTTATGTGGACATTTCTCACTGGAATGGTTAAAGTTTTAGTCTGAGATTTGGAGGACTTGAATTCAAGTCCACCTTCTGTCACAAACTCAGTTTTAGCCTCTGTTCCCCATTAGGAAAACAAGAATAATGGGCATTTCCTTCATTACATTATTTATGGAAATAGAAGAATCACACTTTGCCAGAATGCTGAGTATTTTTCAGTCATTTTGGGTTGGGTCTGGGCATGAGGAAAGGCAGCTGAGCTGAGGATTTCAGGAATAGCCTTTGGAATTTGACAGCTGTTGCAAGCACTTTTACACTAGCTGTTGTGAGATGTCTGGCAGCCTTTGTGGTCAATTAGTCATGGACCAATTCCTTTTCCCTTCCCCTTTCCCAAGGCCTAGGTCCTTCACTCCACACCTTCTGTTCTGCCCCTGGTGGATGGCTCTGTATGACAAACAGATGGTGCCTTTGAGCGTGTAAAAATACCTTTCCCACAACCAGCCTAGTCAACTATCTACCCATTTAATGAGCAGTAAAGACAAGAAGAGCAATCCAGGTCAGAAGTGTTGGTTTCCAAGGAGATTCAAGTCCAGTATGTTTTGTTTTAGCAATCCAGTGCTACACATGACTGCCAGATACTGTACTTCAGTGCCCAGCTTGCTTGTGTCCTGGAGTGGGGCTGATTTCCATACTATTGTGATTGATTGATCGATTGATAGATCAATTGTTTCTGAATGTCTCTATTTTCTCTTGTACATTGTTCAAGGCAGGATACATAGCTTTCATCTCCTCCTTTATTGTCAAATAGCCCTGTGAGGTAGGTCAGAGTTAAAGAATGTGAGAGACCCAGGGTCATCCAAGTGAGTTGCAAGGCTGAATGAGGATTTGCACCTGGATCTTCCAAATCCAGTCCAATCCTCCAACCATTGTACAGGCTTGAAATCCTTTAACAGGAGCTAGTGCTGGAGTAAACGTAGGTGTTGTAGCAGCCTTTGACAAGTAATGGTCTCATTCTATTACTTGACAAAAACTGCAGAGGCTGAACAGGCCAAATAATCATCTGACTCTTCATTGTTGCCCCCGACCCCAAGAGACATTATTAGGAACTCTTGCACTCCTACTTCCCACACCTGCCTGAAGGTAGGATCCTTCACTTAGTCACACTGCTCTCCCTTATTGGTCTGTGTGATCTGGATGTAGAGAGACAAATGTAGCTCAGAAAGCAGATGAATCCTAAGTGATTTGTATAAGCAAGTAAAGTCCCATGTTGAAGAAGCCTTTCTGGGAACATGAGCAATATTGGCCTGGACCTGGAAATAAAAACTTTGTTTCTGAAAAAGTATGGTTGATGGGTAGAACTAAAATGGCCATTAACTCTGTGTTGCCCCATATTCCTGACACCCTGGAACACCCTTCTCTAACCTGAAGAGTTTCACATACATTGGACTACATATCCCCTAATCCTTGCTTCCTGATGACACATTGTGAAATATGATGATGAGAAAAATCTCTGGAGTGTTCCTGGTATGAGATGGCTGCCCTGGAGAAACAGATGCAGATGGAGATCTCTGAAGGTGGAGCAGGTGTATAGAAAGGAGAACTCTGCACAGTTCCCTGTTGTTACTCACAGAGGGCTGGACACAATGAATGAAAATTGTGTGCTTTGTGTCTGTGTCCCATATCTGGTTCCAAGCACTCCAATATATTTTCAGCCTTTAGCCATCTCTTTGCCTCTTTCTGTCTTGTATGGAAAATACACCTCTACTGTTTCTTGCATGGCCGTTGACTTTAGTGTCCTCCATTTAGTCCCCTCCCCATTGGGTGGGGAAGATGAATCTTCTTTCCAGGTTCCAGAGACCTCTCCCATTCAAAACAAGCAAACAACGTCACCAGCTGATTGTTGTTGTGGGTTTTTCGGGCTTCTTTAAATCATAGCGCAATCACTTTTCCTGTTAACATTATTTTGTCAAATCCCAGACATGGACAAGGTATTGCTTTAAACTTAAACCACTGAGAAATTTCACTTATGGTTACCAGACTGTCCCTCAACATGGGTTTTATATTGTTTCTGGAACTGGCAGTATGCTATTGATCCCCGGGCTGCCAGTTACCCATCATTTAGCATATGGTCATGTGAAAAAGAAAGTACACCCTCTTTGAATTCTGTGGTTTTATGTATTAGGACACAATAAAATTCATCTGGTCCTTAGCAGGTCTGCAAATTAGGTAAAGGCAACTTCAGATGAAAAACAGCACAAGACATATTACACTGTGTCATGGTTTATTTAAGCAACTTCAGATGAAAAACAACACAAGACATATTACACTGTTTCATGGTTTATTTAACAGAAATAAAGCCAAAATGGAGAAGCCAGGTGTGAAAAACTAAGTACACCTTATGATTCAATAACTTGGCGAATCACCTTAAGCAACAATAACTTGAAGTAATCATTTTCTGTATGACTTTATCAGTCCCTCACATCATGATGGAGGAGTTTTGGTCCACTCTTCTTCACAATGTTGCTACAGTTCATTGAGGTTTACAGGCATTTGTTTATGCACAGCTCTCTTAAGGTCCTGCCACAGCATTTCAATCAAATTGAGGTACAGTGATTGGGCCATTGCAACACCTTGATTCTTTTCTTTTTCAACCATTTTGTTGTAGATTTGCTGGTGTCCTTGGGATCATTATCCTGTTGCATGACCCAATTTTGGCCAAGCTCTAGCTGTTAGCCTCACATTTGACTCTAGAATATACAGAGGAGTTCATGGTCGACTGACTGTAGGGTGCCCAGGTCCTGTGGCTACAAAACAAGCTCAAATCATCACCCCTCCTCCACCGTGCTTCACGGTTGGTATGAGGTGTTTGTGCTGATATGTTGTGTTTGGTTTTCTCACCTGTCCAAACAACATTGTTCCAGAAGTCTTGTGGTTTGTCCAGATGGTACTTTGCAAACGTAAGCTGTGCTGCCATGTTCTTCTTAGAGGGAAGAGGTTCTTGGCAACCCTTCCAAATAAACCATACTTGTTCAATCTTTTTCTAATTGTACTATCATTAACTTTAACATTTAATGTGCTAACTGAGGCCTGTAGTGTCTGAGATATAATTCTTGTGTTTTTTTTGCAATTTCTCTGAGCATTGCATGGTCTGACCTTGGGGTGGATTTGCTTGGAAGTCCACTCCTGGGAAGACTGGCAACTGTCTTGAATATTTTCCACTTGTGAATAATCTTTCCTACTGTAGAATGGTGGACTTTGAATAGTTTGGAAATAGCCTTATAACCCTTCCCAGATTGATGGGCAGCAACAATTGCTTCTCTATGATCATTGTTGATGTGTTTCCACCTTGGCATTGTGTTAACACACACCTGAATTCTCCAGACCAGCAAACTGCTAAAACTTTGCTTTTTATAGAGGTGGCCACACTTGCTGATAATCAGTTACTTAAGGGCATTTGGTTAGCAGCATCTGGCTGCTACTTAGCCTCTCAATTCCTATGGAAGCAGGAAGGGTGTATTTACTTTTTTACACATGGCTTCTCCATTTTGGCTTTATTTTTGTAAAATGAACCATGATGCTGTATAATACATCATGTGTTGTTCCCCTGAGGTTGCATGTACCTAATTTTCAGACCTGCTATGCCCCAGATGATTTTATTATGTCCTGATACAAAAAACCACAGACTTCAAAAAGAGTGTACAGTATTTTCTTTTTCGCATGACTACCGTATCTTTTCGTATATAAGATGCCCCCATGTATAAAATGCTCCCCACTTTTCTAAATCAAAATTTCTTTCTTTGCAAGAAAGTGGAGGGGAGAAAGCTCCTGCTTTCCCCCTACATTTTGATTGCAAAAAGCAGCTTCCCCCGCTCCAGGTTTTGCAAAGAAAATGCAGGGAGGAAGCAATTTCCACTTTCCCCCTACATTTTGTTGCAAAAAGCAGCTTTCTGCCTCCAGGTTTTGCAAGGAAAATGCAGGGGGGAAGCAATTTGCAATGAAAATGTAGGGAGAAAGTAGGAATTGCTTTCCCCTGCATTTTCTTTGCAAAACCTGGAGGCAGAAAGCTGCTTTTTGCAACAAAAAATGTAGGGAGAACGCGGAAATTGCTTCCCCCCTGCATTGTTTTTGCAAAACATGGAGGGGGAAACAGGGATCAAAGCACTTTGATCCCTACCCCCTTACTTCCAAGTATAAAACGACGTGCGATCGCAAAAGCGATGGCAAAAAAGCCATCGCTATGCGATTTTTTCGTTAAACGGGGCGCTCGTTAAGCGAGGCACCACTGTATTCTATTGTGTGTTGATCTTGACAATAAATTCATTAAAAAGTCATTTTTTTCCCTAATTCATTGAATTTCTCAGCAATATATTTGCAATTGGTTAATGATATGCTTTTTTTACTGTGTTAACTCATTATAGGCTTTTCAGGAATTGCAGGTGATATTTTAAAATTTAATGATTCAGCAAATCAGTCAAGAGGTCAAACAATGAATTAAATGTCTGAAAATGAAAAAGTCATCTGAAAATAAAAAAAATAGATTGTCTTAATGACTTGTACTAATGTGTTAGTACAACTGTTGACATTTCCCAATGCTATTTTTATAGTATATGTCAATGCAATATGATTTAAATATACATGGCTACCATATATTGAGTCAGACAATTTACCTAGGTGGGCATTGCCAACTCTGATTGGCAGCTGTTTATCAAGGCTTGTGGCAGAATTGTAGGCCTTTCCTAGCTTTGCTATTGGAAAACGTTTAGCTGGAGGTTGAAAAACTTCAGCTGGAGATTGAACCTAGGTGCTTCTCTGCATGGAGCTTATGTACAATGTCACTAAACTTGATCTCTTCCTCCTACCGTATATATTTTGGGGGAAAAACTAGTCTTATGTATTTTCTTAACTTTCTTTATTTCTAGGAGGCTATGTCTCAAACCACGTCAGCAACATCGAAAGCTTCAACTCTCTGGAGCACTGGATGCTTCCAAGAAAGACCAGGCCACATCTATGTCCCAGATCAACCTTATCTGTACGAGCCACATGGAGACGGCCTCATCCAATGGGGACACAGATGTCCACACGCCCATCCTCAAGTCAGCCTTCTCTTCATCCCGGGAGTTTGAGAGTTCCCGGGAGGAGTTTTTCAAGCAGATGTCAAACCAGAAAGGGCGTCATACCACAAAGGCTTCTGTAGCAGATACGTTAAGCCAGCGAGGGGGTCCCAAGGATGACTACCCACGAACAGTAGAGGGCTACTCACTCAAGGCAGCTCGCTCCATGGATGTCCCTGGCACTCTTGAGCCTCCTCTTCTGGAGGACTACAAGCGGAGCTATTCACATCAAAGAGTGGAAGAGAAGAACAGTGAGGCACAACGCAAGCAGGTGCGCAATGATGGCAAGGTGTACCTGCAGGAACCCCCTTCCCCACCGCCTCTCCCTCCTCCCTTCGATCACTACGTGGGTCACAAAGGAGATCCCAAAGCTCCTGAGTTCATGATGTCACAGTCAGTCGATCATCTTGCCCGTCCTACCTCCCTGAGTCAACCTGGGCAGCTGATCTTCTGCGGTTCCATTGACCACATGAAGGATAGCATGTACCGAAATGTCATGCCAACACTCGTCATTCCAGCCCACTATATGCGCCTGGCACCCTCTGAGCAGCCTACGGGGAGCTCTGAGAACCAACCAGATATGGACTCAGCAGGTATGGGTCTCCCTCACCAGTTTGGGCCCCAGGAACAGCAGCAGCGGCAGCAGCAGCAGCTCCTCCAACAGCAGTTTCAGCTCCAGCAACATCAAGTGGAAGATGGTGAGGGAAAAGGTTGGGGTCCTCACACTCAGTCAGTCAGTGGCTCAGTTACAATCCCTGTGTTGTTGAATGAATCCACTATGGCCCAGCTGAATGGGGAGCTGCAAGCATTGACAGAGAAGAAGCTGCTGGAGCTGGGTGTGAAGCCCCACCCACGTGCCTGGTTTGTGTCCCTGGATGGGCGTTCCTCCCAAGTCCGCCATTCTTATATAGACCTCCAAGGCAATGAGCGCAGCCGGAGCAATGATGCCAGCCTGGACTCAGGTGTGGATGTCAATGAAGCCAAGCCACCCAAGCGCCTGAAGGAGGAACGCCTAGCCCCTTCTATGGGTCCCACTTACTCCAAGCTTGTGTTTGCTGATGCCGATACAGAGCAAAGTAGCAGTGAGAGCCGCACTGCCATTTGCTCTCCCGAAGACAACTCCTTGACACCTCTGTTGGATGAGAACACCGACCACCGAGCGGCTACTATTCCCCGGCGTGGGCGCAGCCGTGGCAATAGCTCTCGCAGCAGTAACAGCAATAGTGAACTGCGTCGTGACTCCATGACCAGCCCGGAGGATGACAGCAATGAGCCCTCTGAAGGGACAGATGAACAGGGGGACAAGAAGAGTCCCTGGCAAAAACGTGAGGAGCGTCCCCTCATGGTTTTCAATGTGAAGTAGCTGACAAGAGACCACGGGGGTCTGTCTTCATAGCACAGTAGGGCAGGGGGCATGAAGGGAGAGCAGAGGTCACCAGAACCACGGAGATCAGTATTCTCAACTGAATATGGTGCAGCTTCCTCTCCATTGATTCAAGTGCTTGGCAGAACAGAAACCTTGGACGCCCGCTAGCTGAGATTAAATAGACAGAGCAAGACACAAGAGTGCAACCAGGCTGTGCTCCCTCCTTTTTCCAACATGCCCTGAAATCACTCCAGACACTTGCCTTTCCCCAGGCATGTTGTAATACATGCCTCGTCAGTTGCCTAGGAAAGTTTGGCCTCTGTCCTTTCCCACCGACCACTGTGAGCCAGGCAGTGTGGGGTATACAGGAATGGTGGAGGCTGTGATGGCAGGAAAGGAATTTCCACCGCTCTGTGATTGTGTCTCAGTCCACAGGAGGAGGACATGCCTTGTCCTGCCTGGTTTCAGTCTTGTTCCAAGAATTCCTTGCATCCCACCCAGCTTGGCACAGCCGGAACTAGTGCTGGGCCCTTGCCCGGACATGTTGGGAGTTGTGGTGAAACAGAAGGCGACACTGGGACTCTTCATCCCCTTTGCCCTTGTGGGCTTTGAACAGATGCTTAAAAAAATCAGTCCTGTGGATTTTCCAAGCCAGGGGCTCTGGTTTGGGAGGGAGAGGCAAGTACCCCAGGGCTCTAGGCTGATGCCCGTCTTTGCCTGTCGTGCCTCAGTGCCCCCAGCAGCCTAGGTTATAGTATAGAGCCCAGCCAAGGAAGGGGGAGGGAGGGTTGGGGAGTGGGGGTACGGGTGTGGCTAGTTGTACATAAGTGTGTGCATGCGTGTATGTCGGGTTGGGTGGGAGTCTGAGCCATGGTGTGTATGTATGGGTAGGTGTGTCAGTTGTGTCTGACCTCGCTGCCAAATGAACTCCCCAGTGGAGTCTTCTCTGTGCCCCTCCCTTTTTTTCCTTGTGCCTGCGATATTCCTTCGTCTCCTCCAAGTGCCTTCCAGCCCCAACATCTACCCCTCCTTCTCCACCCATCCAGGCAGCTGTGAATGAAACCTTGGATTGCCTGTAAAGGGGTGCAGATGTACCATCTGCTCAAAGCTGCTCAGATCTTCCTTCCTCTCTAATCCCTTGTCTCTCCAGTACTGTATGCTAGGAGGCCAGGAGGGGGGCTGGAGGGTGAAAGGAGTGGTATTGAAGGAAAAGTCGGCCAGCGTTGTATCCTCTCCTTGTAAGCCCAGCTGCCAACTGGTTAGACCACCAACAGATATATATCGATCACCCCACACACATAAACACACCCCAGAGCATGACAGTGGTAATGTCTGGTGCCCCAGGTGGAGAGCAGTGGGACCAAATGTGGGGATCTGAAGGTGTCTTAACATGACTGAGGGATGGGGAAGCAAAGGTATCCTACTCAGAGCTTGACGACATGACATTTATAGACTTACAGCTCTAAGAGCTATAGTCCAGGAGCTTATAGCCCAGAAAAGTAACATTTTCAGGTTCTGATCCTACTTTATACATTGGAGAAGGGGAATCTGTCAAATGCCTCTTGAGCCCTGGAAAACAAGGCCCTTGTGGAGGTTACACAGCTCACTGGAGATATATTCAGCTATATTTGCCGGCTGAACAAATATGGCATTTGTCGGCAGAACAGGAAGGGACTAACTGGGGAGAGGCATTGTAATTTGCAAACATTAAAGTCAATTGAAGGGCCTTTTTACATTTCTCTGGCTCCCCTTCCCCCGCTTTTTTTTGGCAAAGGACTTTTGTAATACTAGAGGGCAGCAGAGAGTTAGTTGAGAAATAGCTTGAGTGGATAAGGAATGTCATCTATATCACTTGAAAATTCGTAAATAAAACCTTACATTACATTAAGCTTTACATGACAGATGGGGAACATGTTCTTTAGTGAGCAGCACTTCTAGGAGAGGGAAAGATCATTTTTGGTCTGAGTTGATTGTTTACAGAGAACATTAACTTCCTTTTCCAACTGTTCCATCCATCTTGAACTTTCTGCCCCCTTTCCCTCTGTCCATTTCTGTTTTTCCACACATTTTACCACTCCTACTCTCTGGGCATTTCCCAGCTGCATTACATTAAGCCAAGGCCTGTTGGTTATCCAGTCACTGTAGCAGGGGCTATAAACTGGCATTTTTGAAGGGCAACTCCCTCCCAGGGCTTGTATGCTCAGACTTCGAAGCCAGACACCCAGGGCTCGTACACATTTGGGAATGGGAGGGTAGTGGGAGACAAACTGTTGTCATTCCATGCTGAGTGAGGGGAGGGGCACTTCACATATGTTCAGAAGCAATGTTTTGTTCACCTGTTTCATGGCTGAGCCTTAGCAATTAAAATAGCGTCTGGGGCTGAGCCCTAGCTCAAACTAAGCCCTTCTCCTACTTCAGCCAGATTTTTCAGTTTATTTGTTGCCCTGGACTAAGTTTTATTTAATTCTCTCTCCTGGATAATTTCTACTTTCACCTTGTTTTGCATCATGTTCTTGAATCTTTTTTTATGTTTTTGCAGCATTTCTTCACTGTCTCTTCCCTTGCCACTCAGTGGCATTACATATAGCCATTACCTGTGGAAATTCCTGTTACTTGATGTAACTGATGATAAGATCAGAACACTATAGGAAGAGACCAGCTACCATCAAGTGGCACGCAAATGAAATTTCCTGTATGGAAGTCTGTATCAAAAACTGCAAAAATCCTGTGTGTGGTTTGTTTGTAATCTGTGTGTCTCTTTCTTGGCCTGTTCATCTAATCACTTCTGTGTGAAAAAGAATTATCTCCTGTAAATCAGCTCTAAGTATTTTCCAACTATATAGGGAATTACCTGGGATGACTGATCATTCTCTTGAGCAAGCTGTCAATTACCCATCTAATGTTGGACAAATGAAGCATTTCACACTTGTGTGTGACCAGTTAGATCAGGAGGAGGAAGCAGTACTGTTTCCAACTAGATCATAGGATGTTTTATAGTGTATAATAAGAGTTCATTCAGCCACAACAAGCTTTTTTTAAAAGAAAGGTTTAGCCCCTGGGCCGGTTAAAGAGCTATTTCAAGTTGGCACACATAGTTTTAAAGGGAACAGTGACATTGTTTTTTCCATGCCCTAGCCCATGTTTAGGCAGTGATTAGCGTGCATTTGATCTCTGATCTGTACCAGCAAATCTGTATTCTAGATTGTTTTTAAGCTACCATTGCCAAAATGTGAGGTGTCTTCTAGATCAGTGGTTCTTAACCTTTGTTACTCGGATGCTTTTGAACTGCAACTCCCAGGAACCCCAGTCAGGACAGCTGGTTGTGAAGGCTTCTGGGAGTTGCAGTCCAAAACTCCTGAGTAACCCAAGGTTAAGAACCAGTGTTCCCCAACCTTGGGTAACCCAGGCATTTTTGGACTGCAATTCCCAGAAGCCTTCACCACAGCTGTGCTGCCTGGCATTTCTGGGAGTTGCAGTCTTAAGAACACTTGGGTTACCCAAGGTTAGGAGCCACTGTTACATCTAGATGAATGTTCCTCTGTGGGAAAGCAGGCCTCTATAAAAATGGCTCTGTAGTTTTATGTAAGTTTTAGGAAAAGGCAGCTGCCGCAAACAATCAAGACCCCAGGACCAGATACCTCTTCTTCCTTCCCCAACCAGTGCACAACGCTGTTTTTTACTACTTTTTTATAGCTGAAATAAAACCTGTGTGGTTAAGAGGATGAGTTCTTTGACATTGACACTGATGCATCTTTCACTGTGTGGAATGCCTTTGCTATCTCCAGTGACCTCAAACTCTCTGTCAAACAAATGTTTTGAGTTTTTAAATATTATATATGAAAAAAAAGGATTGGGTAAACTTGGCAAATCAGGAGACTTATTGGCTACTGTTGGTTAAATCTCCTACGTGTTCTTTAGAATGGTATTAATATATAAACTCTGAATTTATCAAGGTCTTGTGCAGCGGTTGTTTCCTTTATAAAAGCAGCATCTCTCTTCTAAGCATGGTTGTGGAGCAGATTCAAGCCAATCCAAGAGCAGTCTGGTAGAAGAAATAACATGAGTTTTTGGTTTTTTGAAAGCTTGCAGAGCTTTTCCTCTACCATTTTTATGGCACAGCTCCTTACCAGTGAGTGACATGATAAGGTGGACACAGCTTTTTTCTCACAGAGATGAAAACTGCCATCTTTTAAACTACAGGGGCTTGGGCAATGCCCAGGGATGAGGATTCATGAGGTGCAGCTCACTGTCAAGTTGTACCAGTGATTTGATTTGGATTTGACTTGGGGGTTTGGGGGACAGACTTGGAATACACTTGCAACTTGGAACCATTTTTTCGAGTTGCATTTTGAGTCCCTAAGAGATGGGCCTCCCTACCTGCTGCCACCGCCATCCTCAAAGGCAGCAGGCCTGGCTTCCATTCTGGGAGCTGGACCTGCTGCCTCTGCCCACACAGCCAGCTGAGAGGCCGGTGCAGAGGCAGGGGCTGGTTCTAGGAAGGGAAGTCAACCTGTCGTCTCTGCTCATATGCTAGCCTATCAGCTGGGCAGTGCATGTGCAGTCTGAGTCTTTCAATCAGAGTCCCAAGCTTCAGGAAGAGGGGTGGGGGGACAAATGACTTGGACTCAAAGCTTGAGACTTAGGCCTGAAGACTTGGACTTGGGACTCAAGTCTGAAGACTTGTCAACATCCCTGGCAACACCATAGCATGTAAGTGGCTTGCTAAAGAAAAATGGGCCAGTATTCTGTAGCTAGTGTCAGTGAAAGTAGAGCCATTGCTAGGGGTGGGATTTTGGGAATTTAAGGACTACCATTCCCATAATTTGGTGGGAACCCCCCCAGGCTGAATTATAAAGGACTGGGTGCCCTTAGACCAACAGGAGGTAAAACAGTCAACTCACCTGCATGCTCTTCCTGCGCAACTTTGAACTCTTAGAAAAGTGCCCCACAGCACTGCTAGAGTTGTGAGGATCCCTTGTGACTCCCACAGGTGCATGTGGGATTGAATTTTGACTGATGCTGCTTCCATAAACTCTATATGGGTTTATATAAGTTGCTTTTAAGTAGCATTAATTAGATTTATGTAAGTTATTGTCCACACTACTGGACATGGTGCTGGAAGTTTAACCACTTTGACCTGTGTGAGAGCTGAAGAACTTTGTAAACTGACGAGTATGGTTTTGGTGATGGTACTGTTTTACGAAGCAAAAAAAGGTAAAACTGGGCTATCTGCTTTCTCTAGGCTCCCTTCTAAGCTGATGGCTGAGCAGCTGTGATGACTTCTAACATTCTGCCACAGTGGAACGGGATGTGAGGAAAGCAGAAAGGATAATTCATAACTTGCTGAAAATTTGTGCAATATCTATCAGGGAAGTAAAAGAGGTTTTTGTTTCCTAAGTGGTCAAAAGGTAGAGGATCTTTGTGCATGTTAGGAGTACCCAGAAGCAAAGCTGAATTGTAGGCCTATGTGCATTTGCGGATGTGGCTTGCGGAGGTTATGATAACTGATTTTGCCTGTTGCCTCAAAATAAAACAAGCAGCCATATCTTTTGATGGCAGGTCCCTAATTCAAATGCATACTACATTTAAAACAGTTACTGGGATACACACTGGTGGGCATCCGCCTTGAGTACCAGAGGGAAACCATGACCCATAATCCAGAAATCGATTTAATCCCAAACACAGGTGTTAAGTGTACAGTACTAAGAGGTAGAACCACTGAGAAATGAGGATATTATTAATGAACTTTGGGGCCTGGAAAAGTTCATTGAAATGTGTATGTATCTACTTTCACACACACATACTGTACATACGGACTCTGAAATATGGGGGAAGACAGCCTGGTGAAGACTAAGCATGCTGATGTGAATGAGGACTAAGCAGCTGACATTCAAAGCGTGGGGTCTGTGTTTGATTACAATCTTAAGAGTGGTAGGGCTTGTAGACATTCAGTTCAAGCTCTGTCGTACATATATGGGAATATGTGGCTGACCTGGTCTTGAATTACAGTTTTCAGCAGCCCCGGCCAGTTTAGCCAGTGGTGAGATTTGGGCATCAGATACTGTGAGCTCAACAGCCCAACCAAGCATTTAGGCAGTGGGTGAAGCCTCCTCGGATAGGGTCTCCATGAATTTGAAACTAGTAGAACTGTTAAAACATGATTTTATTGAGTCTAAAGAGTGGGGTACAGGGAAGGACAAAGGAACAACAATCTTCTCCCAAGCTGTCTGCCCATCGGGGGGGGGGGTTTGAATTCCCAGCACTAGCATATCTGTGCCTGTTAACTTCACATGCTTAGCAATGGTTCATACCTGTGCCAGTTAACTTCACATGCTTAGCAAATGGTTAGGCAATTATATATATATAAATTGCCTAACCCACTGTGGTGAATTGGCACGAATTAGGCACCGGTCACATTATTATAACTGATGTCAGTGGCATCTTAAAAAGTATGTCAGTATCTAAGGTTTAACATAAATGGAATGTAAGGCATTTGATTGAGATTGTATGCTCTTCTTTTGGCTGGGAAGGGTCCAGAAAGATTATTTAAGATTTTATTTATTCATGAATATAAACCACAGAGATCCACCCACTTCACAAACTAATAAAAGCATGCAATATATACATTGCACAAAATTAGAACACAGGATTTACATTGTCCATGGAACAGATGATAACTCTGACTACATTGAGAAGGCTTACACAAATAGATATACAGTATTTTCAACATGCAGCTAAAGTCTTTTTTTGTTGGACCACACTGAATGTTAAAGAGAAGACCCATGCAGAGAGCAGCATGGAACACCCTGCTCTGAATGAGTGCAAAGCATACTTCAGGACGAGGCATGGGGCACCAGCAAGATGGCATCTCCACATGATCTTGAGGACCAAAAGCCATCTTCAAAGAGAGAGATGATCTGTCTTTCCCAGCTTACCTTCACTGCAAAATATGTGTGTCTGTGTCTGTGTCTAGCCGGGGAATTCAAATAAGTCCTAGTTCTGCAATACAAAACTACTGCTATGTTGCATTACAGCATTAATATGGCATAATGGTAGACTGTGGCAAGTCCCTGTTTCTCATGCATAATTTCTAAGCAGTTGGTAGTCCTAGAGATGTTGCCTGCTGATCGTAGACAGCCAGTGTGGTGTACTGGTTATTGTGTTGGACTAGGACTCAGCAGAGACTGGTGTTCAAATTCCCACTCAACCATGAAAACATTCACATTCTGACTTACCGCACAGCATTGTTGAGAGATTGAAATGGGAAAAGAGGATCTATGTGCACTGCCTTGAACTCACTGGAGGAAAGGTTGAATGCAAAGGTAACTAACGTTGACGATGATGATAACAACGACAACAAACATAAACAATTGTACTGATGATGATAACAACAACAACGACAACAAACATAAA